CAGAACAGGGAGGGAAATCCTACCAGTAACGGAAGTGGCGGAGGTTACTTTGTAGGAATGACTTGCATGGTGAGAAAAAACTGGGTAGAAGTGGCACCATTTAAACCACAGCTACCTCTCCAAGGCAAACTTTGTGACAAATTGGTTTACATGAATTCCTCGGGGGCTTGGCCTCCCTTGGCCTCATGGACTTCGTTGGCTGGCACCGTCAGCCGAAAAGAAAAAAGAAGAGCACCGCACCGCTTCGTTTTTGACTCGGCGCACAATCCACCATTGAAACAAACAGGGTCGAAGGTAATGTTGGTTCAAGGTTCCTTTTATATCTATGGAAAGAGATTAGAAGACCCATTGCAGTCACCCTCACCCCAAAAAAAAAGGGGTTTGGGCAAAGATCTACTTTGCTATAGAGGTTGAATAGAGAAGGGGAGGAGGAAAGAGGACACGAGCAGAGAGATTATGCGTGTATCCATTCATGTGTGCATGTGTGGAAGAAAGTATGCGTGTATCCATGCATGCGTGCATGTGTGGAAGAGAGTATGCGTGTATCCATGCATGTGTGCATGTGTGGAAGAGTGCATGCCGATGTGTGGGTGTCATTTCCAAACATAAATCCTCAAAAACAGCATCACTGTGACATGCAGTTTTGTCAAATGTTCTTTTCAATGACATATCAGGAGGTTAAGCCACAACAGTCTCTCCACGACGCATGGGACTGATGTCTTAGGACACAGCACCGCACCCAACGGTAGTGACGTCGAAAAGAGAAGCAGCTGAGTTTGCCCACAACCTTGCAGGTTGTGTGTGTACGTGTGAGTGTGTATGAGTGTGTTTGCACGTGTGTGCGCATATGAGTGCATGCGTTTGTTTTTTTTTTTTGGGGGGGGGGGGGGGGGGGGGGGGGAAGGGGGGGAAGAAAGGGAAGAAAGGGGGCAACCTGGCATCCCACGGACCACTAAGATGCGTATGTGTGCTGTAAATACTCGTCCCCATTCCATCCTGAATGAAAGAACGAATAAACAATGAAAAGTGAAATCTCTCCCACATGTGTGTGGTTGAGCAGCAACTGCCCACACATCCGTCTGCTTCAGCCGCACATGCACTGTAAATAACAAACTGGGAAGCACCCATCCACTAATGGGCATGCGTGTGTGTTGTCTTGTTCGCTGGACAACTCCACAGAACAGCGTGACTCTGCCACACCATCTCGTCGAGCCCAACAGTCTCATCAGAAGGTTGAAGCCCAACAGTCTGCCCAGGATGCATTTGACTGATGGGTAAGGACTCACCACATCACCAGAGTTAGTGATACCCCTGAGAAAAGTGGTCGACTTCCTCGCACCAACCCTGCAATCCTAGCAGACTGTCTATCCAAACCCGGTAGGTCCGATGAACTACCACTAGTCAGTCACAGTCAGAAAACCCACTCTACTGTGTGTGTCTGTGCGCATGTGTTGAGGAAATATCAACTCACCGAATCCACTTACACCACCACCAACATTCAGGCTGGGGGGCTAAGTCATAAAAGTAACTTATACCTCATTCTTCAGAGGCCGGCTGAGGCTCGGCGCTACCGGACCACAAAGGCTGATGGCACTAGCCAAAAGAAAACAGAAACGCCATTGGTGCACTGTTCGACTCCGCATCCGCAAAAAGAGGCTCGGAGATAGCGGTGGTTTAAGAGCAGAGAGAGAAATCAACATAATGACTGCAAGTTCTCTCAGGTCTGTATGGAAACGCTCACACATGCGTTCCCACTAAACTTGAGAAACGAATTAGTAGGCACCTCCACAGCAATTCACATCAATCTGCACGCAAACACTCACAAGCAATCAACGGAACAGCAATCATCACCCATGCACAGATTTCCCGATCTGAAGCACCAACCCAGCACTCCGCCTCCCATCCTCAATTTCAAAGACATAGTCCATTGGGTAGTCACATAGCAACAAAATGTTTGTCCGGAGGAAGACAGCGCTCTTATACAGTAGAGGCCCCACCAAAACTACCACACGACAACAGGAGCACTACGGCTGAAAGAAGCCTCATTGATCCACTTAATGTGCTCCAAAGCGCACATAGGGCTGTGCAAATATCGCCCGCAGTTGTACTTCTGGAGTGAGACCATGGAAACTCACACTCATAGAACTGACCAAACGACAAAAGCAGACAAGAACCATCGAATTGAAGGCTCGTTGCTCCACTTAATGTGCTCCAAAGCGCAGGCAGGCTGTGGGAATATCGCCCGCAGTTAGTACTTTTGGAGAGAGACGATGGAAACCCACACTCACAACACCGACCAAACCACAAAAGCAGACAAGAACTGTCGAATTGAAGGCGTTCTCAAGACAAAAGCCTGCCCCGCGATGGCCTGGAATACAAAACTGTTTGTGCCACACCAGAAGCTCTACTGGCTATTAAAAAAGAAAAAAAGCCCCAGGCATCGCCCATGCCATGTGCTGAAAAATACACAGCTGACAGGAATCTCACCCAGAGTGCAAGCTCGCCAAGCCCATCCACAAAAATCCCATGAAAACGAGCAGCACCATGGAACCAGACACACACAAAATAACAGAAGGAATGGCACCCGCTTTAAACCGCAAGTACACGGCCCCAGCCTTGCAGAAAGTTTTTGTCGCCACAAGCAAAACTCGAAGAGGCCGCGCGGCGTGGGACGCAGTTGACAAAAAAAAATTGGCGGCCTCCGAAATGGTGTGGGTTTCATGCTGACACCCGCGGGCCAATGTCTGGTGTACTGGTGCTTTAAGGCACCCTGCCCCTTCCGTCCATGTGCTCCGGAACACCAGCCCATGGGAATCACACCCGCAGCAACCACTGTCTGAGCCTCTTTATGATGAAATCCCAACCAATTTCCACCATAAAAGAAAGAGCCCCATGTACTTATCCAGGGGAGTAAAATGAGTAAATGTCCCCAACAACACCATATGCAAACAGATAGTGTGCATTATGCAAGGTATGAGACCTCGCATAGGCCGCTTGGCCGCGGCCTGCTACTGCCTAAGGGCCCCCTGGCAAGTATGGTGCCTTTCCTAAGTGAAGGCGGGCCTGAATTCAACGTGGGCCCCGCATTTTCACCATTTCTGCATTATTGGGCGCCAGACAGTTAACACGCGCCAGTTGGTTACAAAGGCCCTGCTCGTGAGAATCAGAATCGTCGAGGAACATTCTAGGTTCCTCTGTGCATTAGCGTGGAGGCTGGTCTCTCGGCCTATCAGGAAGCAAGGAACGCGTCACAGGCCGAGTGGGTGGTTGGGCACACCTTGAAGATGCGATCCCGGGCAACTATCTCAATGGGCCTGAGCGCAGACACTTTGGTCCAACGTGAAGCTACTGGGGCCCCTGCACACCAGGCCCAGCCCAGCCAGAGTTGAGGCTCACTTTCCATACAGGAAAGTGAGCGCCCAGCCAGGCGATTCATTCTGGCCGGCTCCGCCCCGCAGCCACGCTGCCACCTTGCAGTGGCACAGTGCTAGAGGGCGAGCATCAGGGCGCACATGGGCACAGGAGAAGAGAGGGGCGCTGCGGTGGCGGCAGGGCGCACGGCGGCCATAGCCAGGCTTCTGGGGCACATGCTGGTGTGTTCGATGGCGGTCTTCTGGAAGGGGAGGCGCATGCTCAAGGGAGTCGGGGGCTGATGAGGAGAGAAGGGGCATGTACCTGGTGTATGCTGGCAGTCTGTGTTTGGCGATGTCGTCACTTGGATAGGCTGGGTGCAGAGCGCCAAACGTAGTGTAGGCTAGTCTAGGCTGAGTAGTATATGCCTTTACTTAGCTCGAAGTGATTCCTGTTGAAATACGTAGTGTATAGCCTGGGCTGAGTAGGATAGGCTGGGCGCAGAGCGACAAACAAGATGAGCGACATTGGATACTATGTTGGTGTGGCGAGAGAGTGTCAACATTGTCATTTTGAGTTCATTGTATTGCTCTTATTTGGAAGGTAGCTCGGTGCATTGTGCGTTCTGCTTGGTACTCGACTATCTGGTCTACAGCGTGACATTGCAACTTGGTTTTCTGTCTGTCGCTCTCGCTCATATTCCTTGCAGTTATCAGAGACTCCCCACAAACAAACCCGCAGTCCATCCAACAGATCAACAAGAGTAATAGCTCAAGTGCAACCATGTGAAAGAGCAAGGGGGGAAGAAGGAGAGAAAGATCAGGAGAGCAACGTGGCAATAATGTACCAGAACCTCTCAGATTGTAGATGCATGACCTTCCCTGAATGTCTGTAGTTCCCACATGCATTTTGAACGGGGCTATTTTTGTCCCTTCCAACCTGGGGGGCTAGCTTTGTCCTTCACCCGTACTTTTTGGTCCCATGCGTGGCACCACCAAAAGAAGATTTTGGCCCGTACTTTGAGTGGAAGACGCCACAACCTTTCGAGGTGATGAAGTCACAATACCTCCATGAGGTAACATAGAAATGATCAGCCGTGATCGCCAATTGATTTTTCACCGTTTTGGGATTAGGGGTCCTTGTACTGGGGATACAGTACTTTGTTTCCAGGGCCTTTCACCCCGAGCAACACCGGTCAAACACTTGCTTTCTTGGTTCCCAGGGATAGTCAATGTTCTTCTTATTCAACTGTGAGATAACAAAGCACCCGAAACCAAAGAGATACATAAATGGGTCGCTACCAGTTGATGCTCCACAAGCCCTCCATCTTTCTCTATTCAATTCATCATGGACGTACAACCTGAATACATAAAATCAACGTTTGTCACAGTCCATATTTATATTCAATCGTTTCTGGACGGAATGAAATCACCAGTTGTCTTTATAGAAACGGAGTTTTGCCTGACAAGCGGAGGGGAGAGCTACAGCATGATGAGACGATCAACAACAACAACAACACTGCATCAGAGTACAATGTGTAAGTCTTGTCTCCTATGAACACCCTACCAAACTCTTTTCGAACTTTTTGGATTTTTTACGTTTTTCCTCAGACGTGCAGACTGTGTTCAGTAATGTGCACGAGGTAGTACCTGCTAGAGGGTTTACGTTTGCTTGCTTGTATAGCCGTGCGGTTTCCATCTGTATACGTTCCTGCACAAAATCACCAAACAAAAATAATGCAATTGCATAGATCTCAAGTGTCATAAGCCTGAATCTTTCTGTGCGGAATAAAAATTATTAGAAGCCAGCAGCAGCAACAACAACAACAACAAGGCTTGCCATTGTGGAGGCAGCAAAAGAGGGGACAAATGCAGGGTTATGCTCAATGCAGACTGATATATGTGCCCTGATCGCCAGCTCTCTCTCTCTCTCTCTCTCTCTCTCTCTCTCTCTCTCTCTCTCTCTCTC